GAATAAGTTCACTCAGTGTTCAAGTTCTCATGTTATGGAAAAAAAAAGAAAACAGTTAAATGTCAATTGCACACATGATACTTTACACCCTCGAGCGGTTTGTTTCATGAATTTCCTGCATACCACAGCCTTAATAAATGTGCATCCTATTCAATTGTTCTTCTTCAATTTTTCACCATTCATCATTAGATCAGATTTTTTCTCTAGGTTCTCCATGGAAAAATTCTTACATTTTGCGTGTGGGTTATCTATAGAATCTTCCTCAGAGATTAAACCATTAGTTTTACTTTCATCTTTCCCCTCCAGATAAAGTTTAGTTACAGTAAATCTTAGTGCTGCATCTGTGTCTCCATTGTACCAGACAGACAGACAAAATGTGACCAGAAGCCATGGCACAATAAATAAAAGGGCTGGTTGTCCGTGTTGGAAATACACCATAACGATCATTGTATTCAAGAGAGATATAAAATAAGCAATCATTCCAATATTGAAATACAAATTCCCTCTCTTAACAAAATCACGGGAAAAAACTAATAGCTGGGCAATAAAAAGACCAGGGATAACCAGATCCCCAAGCCCCAGCAAACTCTTCTTAGTGTGATCACCGAAAATGGTGGCTGGGAAGACTAGTTTAATAGGCCCATCTATTCCAGTTGCAACGGTGATCATAGCATCAGTCCCAAAGACCCAAAAGATATCATAGAAAAAAAGGCCAATCAGTAAAATGAAAGAGGTAAAAAAATTATCACATACTAACGATTCGATAGAAACAATACCTAATATAGATGCCAAAATATTATTCGCAATCCAGTTTCCCCACCAAAAGCTGAGTATTCCAATCGTAAGAGAAAATATGCCTACAAGAATCCTTGGCTTTAAGTACGAACTCATAAATGTAATTAATGTGAAAACGCCTAGTGTGTGAATACAGAAAGAAATTAACATGAGAAAGTATTCTTTTGGGATTAGCCGAATAAGAACATACAAAGTTAGCAGGGTGACCGATCCTTTGAGGGGTAGAGAAATAGCGTCTGAAGATTCGATAACGTCCGAATTTTGATTTTGAGGCAGATACTTTCCGAACCGATGAGCTCCAAAAAATACAACGGCCATGGCCATTATCAATAAAGAGCTCAAGGCAAAATAAGATTGGTCCATATGTAGAAAATAAACTATTATTGAAATAATCAAAACGGTAAATAAAAATTTATGCTTAATGAAAACTAAAAAATATAAGCAATATATGATCACACGGAGCAAGAGAAAATAACACAGGGTTACGCAAATAATGAACATGGATGCAAGAAAGAAAAAAAGCGTAATTATATATATGTTCATAATCCATAGAAACCAGTTAATTTGGATTTTTTTTCCGCTTTGGGGGCGGTAAATCCCTTCCATAGGTTTCTCTGAATTTAATTTCGTTAATTCTACGTTTTACAGTCGTACGATGGTGTTTAGAAAGTATATGTAATTCCATCTGACCTCTTCCATATATTATTGTATTACAGACGTTGCAGACCTCCTGCGAGACGGGCATCTTTGGCTCGATTGCAATATTATGAAGAAAATCGACGTAATCTAATTTTTCTGTCTTAATTGAAAAAAAGGCGTGCACCAATTTTGAAATATTAGCCAATTCTTTAAGGTGAGAAGAATCAATTCTCATAAAATGATGAGAAATAAAACTATCTTTCAAATGATATAATAACGTTTGAATTCGGTTAAACAGCCACCTTTCCTGCTGTCTAGCATACCTTCGTGTATTCGATTTTACCTGCTTAATTCCAGACTGAAGTAAAGCCTGAAATTCTTCACTAGGTATATCTTTATAAGTGAAAAGGCCTTTAAATTCTTTCAATCCTATAGCTTCATTTATGCTTGTTTGGAGGTTAGACCCCTCATTACGTTTTTGAAATTCCTCCACCTCGGATAGTAGACCTTTGTTTACCATAAGATCGACCCTTGAATTAAGAGATTTATATAACTGCTCTCTCGGAAGCCAAAGACAGAGCACAAATGTCTTTTCCCTTGGAAAACGGAGTTTTACATTTTTAGAAGAATAAATATCAGATGGTAACTTTTTGTTTTTTTTATATATTTCGATCAGACGCCTTAATCGACGCTTATCGTTGGGGTGGTAACGAGAAGCAATTTGCGGATCAATTTTATTTAATTCATCCCAAAGCTCATCCCCTGCATTATCCTCATCCGAGGGTGTACTTGAAGTTTCATTGTTGTCCTCAGAAACAAGGGTATTATCAAACAAAATAGATTGAGCGTAATAGCATGTTCCTCCACAAATTATAATGGCCGAATTATTGTGCACTTCAAAATACTTATTTATAAACTCGGTAACCTTGTCAACATAAGAACGAACATCGAAACGTGTATTGGTTACATTTTGAACAATCATGGAATCGATTGTTTGACTATTAAAATTTTTTCTTACGGGATCAAATAGGTAAGAATCGTGGGAGTCAAGAAAGCCTAAAAATGCATGTGGTATTTTTTTCATATCATCAGATAGCGTCTTGTTTGTAAGGATTGGGAGATCCTTATAAAACTGCATAACATCACAGTTTATTATAGCGACATTTATATATATTTTTTTATCTTTAAAATACGTGGCCAATTCGACTGCAAAGGATGATTTTCCAGTACCTGTGCTCCCTAATATAAAAAAATTGGATTTGTGACTATATCGAGATTCATTTAGAAAAAGAAAAAGCTTAATCAAGGAAGAAAAAATTATAAATGTTTGAGATTTTTTTTTAAAGTGTAAGTACTAAATAGCATGAATAAAATGTAAGTCAGAATTATTGAGATAATTATTATTGCTTAAATGACAATTTTACTCGTTCTACCAAATTGATAGAGGTGATCACACTTAGTTGCCTTTATGATTATTTTACTTATCAGATGTGGCCACGTTTCCACAAGGATAGTTCCACCTTCTAAAAAAAGAAACGTGAAATATATCAGTTATATTATACAGAAGAGTTCCCAGGAATATAATAATATATGAAAGAATGAAATACACAGTCGGATAGATATGAAACACCGAACTATTCCATATAATTGCATATATCCCTGCACTAAGAAGGGAAAGATTTGCAAATGCTGCGCTTGTAAATAGAAAAAGAAAGGGCAATGCAGTGTAAACACACAGCATAGTAATGCCAAACATAACCTGATATATATAGTCATTGCCGGTCCAATTATGGCGATTTGACTTAAAATCCTTCCACTCAACCGCAAAGAATTGCACGATGGAGAATATTAACGCGAAAAGGGACATCATTGCAAGGTATTCGACAACAGGAACAGATACAGGAATACTGGAAAGTTCTTTATCAATATTTTCAGCTGTAGGATCTTGATTCTGTGAGTCTCCTACCACTTGAGGAGAATGTACTAAATCATTCAGATTTTGATCGGATTCTAAGTGGGGTGCTGTAGGTAGGGACACTTTCAAATTTGATGAATGTGTTTTAGGCCCTTTAATAAACCATTCTGTAATAACATTATTTAATGCGTATAAAAAGGAGCCTAAGAGGCATAGTAAATCTCCAATAAGTTGATTGCTCCCACCACCAGTATAAGAACGACCATCAGCATCCAAAACAACGAGTAAAACTAAACCGCAAATAGCAATAACACATCCAAAAATATGAGTTAGAGAAAACTTCATATGCAGTATAAAATAACTCAAAACCAAGACACATGGTAATGTAAAACAATTTAACAACTGAACTGATGCTAGATTTGTATAATTGTATGCAGAAATAACAGAGTAATTTGCTTCTAAATCAATCAAGCCAAGGATAGCATATTTCCACCACCTATAAAGGAATGAAAAGTTTGAAAACTTATGATTTCTGTATTTAATTTTTAAGAAAATAAAAACTGGAAAATAAAACAGAAAGATATAAAGATATGATACTAAAGATTGAAAAATCGGATAACTTACTGAATTGTCTACTAGCAAGGTTGACCAAAGGCCCGTCAAGGAGATCAAAAAGGAAAGTGCTTGACCAAAAAGAATCCTTTGTGTTAGTATGCACAGTTTATTTAGAGTAAATGACGTCATTTCTAAGAGATTAAATTTATTATACTTAAATAAATATAACCTAAAACTAAGCCTAGTAAATTAAAGTCAAATGATAAAAGGTATAGTTATTTCGTTCAGATCAATCGAATTTGCAATTTTGAAAGAACAATAATGTATTGAAAACTAATGTTTTGATGTTAAATAATATGTGACAATAAGGACAAACATGCTAGATATGCATAATTAATCGATAAAATAAATTGTATAATAAAATAAGCAACTATATCTTAAGATAAATAAATAGACAATTTGCTTATCCCTTTTTAAATCAAAAATATCGTTAAACCTCTTTTTTATATTAAGAAATGAAAAACAGTTATTATAAAAATGAAACACTACGTATCCTAATTATCATAAAAAAAAAGAGCAAAAACTAAACTAAAAAAATGAAGTTTATAGTGAAATATAATATTTAAAAATCAGAAAAGAAAGCACAACCCTATAAAAGTCGAGTCGAGACTTGCAAATCTTGTCCTCATAGAGATCTAATAGACCGCCATAAAAATCCTTGCCACATCTTAAAATGGAAATTGAAGGATCAACTTTAATTTTATTATAAAATATAAAACATTTTATATAATTGATCCATGGAATTTGACTTATTGTATATCATTAAACAGAACCGATCATTAGAAACAGTCATAAGCCCCACTTTTTTTTTTTTCATAACATGAGAACTTGAACACTGAGTGAACTTATTTTTCATAATAATATACTGAGAGTTTGCGAAGGAAACAAGCACCATGGTGAAAAAATGAGACTGGTTTTAGGCTGCTTTCTTCGCATTCATGTCAATATAGCACTATATTTTTGTAATGAAGCGAGAGGTGCGCTTCCGCTTTTTTGCGCCGAAGGCCCACTATTCCTCTCGTGGAGCGAGTAAATTTTAACAAAAAAAACATAATAACCCACCCTGCCCATTCCCTATAACTTGTCATCGGTGGAATCGCCAGTTTTCAAAAAAAGAACTAGCAGCTGTGTTTTCTATGATAAAAAATAAAGAGACTTGTTACCCCGCGCCTTTTTGAGAAAAATGCATTGGAGACCCGCCATGGGGATAGGTCAGGGAGATCCGCATTCGAAAAAAGAATAAAGATCGCTCACCCCCAAACTCTGAGATCCATAAAGGGGGTTTTCCATCCGCTTCTCAATCTGAAGAAAAAACGAAATACTGGTTTGAAGGACCTATGGCTTTTACAGGCTTACCATCTGTGGCGCCCTAAAGTGGATGAAAATTCAAAGGCATTGCAAGAGGATAAAACAATGCAGTGGCGAAAAGAAGTTTGTTCACAAGAAGTTAATAAATTAATGATTTTTTTTTTATCATCATGAAATTTCGACAGTTAAACGTGCATTTTTATCAACACAAATTGGAGAAGGAACCCCTGAATAAGCATTGAAAAGAAAAAGGAAATCGTGACGAGTAGGCATGTGTAGGAATTAGTTGGGACAAAGCCAATCATTAGACAACGCGCCCATTCTGATACACCAATTTTGGTCATAAGTGCTAGGTTCCCTTTAAAAAACCTGTGAAATGGAAAATTCAAAAATTTGCCCCGCCCCCAATACAAGTCACCAACCCATCACAGCTCAGTAAGGTCGCCGGACCCGCTGGGTCAGTCTCAGGTACTATTTTATAGATTAAGGTTATGGCGATTTTTTTTTTGAAGAATGTTAATCAAGCGCTTATAATAGACACTAAATGTATTCTATTGTGATATTCACTTGTCAGCCCCCTTTATAAACCTTGCTTCTACTGCAAAAAGAGTGAGAGAACGGTTACGACAGCCTGTACTCTTGGGATCAATTTATCAACTGAGTTGTTTCATCATAACTTGATTTTGAGACTGATAGCCTCAGGTTATTGGTCGTTTTTGCTCTATTATAATGCCTTTTAGGCATTTTCTTCGCTCTTAAAGTTTTAAAGGTTTTTTTTCAAGTTTATAATAATATCTTGGTGAATGAATGATTTAGTATGTATCTTTTGTGTCAAAAGTATCAATTACTTTGAAATGTCTTTTGCTATAAAAATATTAGCATAAAAATAGTCTAAATAAAATATCCTCCAGTGATCTGAATCTAATTTATTTTAGACTGTTGATATTGATTCTAGTGTTGAATAAAGACTTTTTATATCTTAAGCAATTTATGACAAATTATTTTTCTACCAAGTTGCCTCTATCATGTCTTATAGAATCAAAATGGGTTTTATTTCCTTAGTGTCATTTACCGTTATCTTTATAATGAGGGAACTGCTTGTTTTTATTTCATATTTTTTTTAAAACAAGGAAAAACTACCTTTTTGAGCGTGTGGTATATATTTTTTTATTCTTCAACAAGATTCGAGTTCTCATATCTTGATGTTGATATGAAGAGTCATTTATTGTATTTGTAGTTATTTCATACAATCTTTTAACATACATTACAGTATAAAATGTAACTTTAGTATGTCTTAAGCATATTCTACTATTTTAAATCCCTAGTTTTTGGTAACTTTTGGTAGAATTGATTAACTTATATATATATATATATATATGAT